ATTTTCAATTATATACCTTAAAGATTATCTGTGAAGTAGATGACGGTGTTGATAGTAATTGAGTTGCACCAGAAGATAGGAGGGAACTGTGAAGTATTATCCGTATCAGTCGTATGCATCAGGATTCTGGTCAAAATATAGCGCGGGCCGAGAGCACGACCTGTTTAAGATCGGCGGTTTGGCTGGATTACAAGCATATATGAGTATTCCGTCACAATTGTGTATAAATTTCACCTGAAATCAGTAGTTCTGCTCACCTATTTAGTTCTCGAGGCTTGAGTACACTGCTATGCCCACGCATTGTTTGCCTAGGCCGCTGTCAACCAAAGAGTCTAAATCAACTTCCTAAAGTTTGACCTTTAATTTCAACCCACGCAATTGAAACGGCTGCTTGTATGAGGTGCTACACACATGACTGAGCATTGCAAACTAAGCCGTTCTTTTTAATCGCAAGCTTTAGTTAGTGAAGTTCAAAAATGCCATTTCTGGGAGCTATGGGCCTCATATTTTCTCTCATAAATCCGTGTGATATCCAGAACTTAATTTCATTGAGTTATTTGTTATCTCATAAAAATAAGTTTATTATGGTTAAAATAACCCACCAAGCATCTAACGTTCAAACAACGCTGACGTTTTTTAACTAAACCAACTCTTAATATACGTTGTTTCACATTCATTTGCCTGGAGGGAATAATCGTGCTTATGAAAAAAATTTTAGAGCAACAATGAGCGATTGTGCGGCTGACTTAGTTCTTGCTAGCTGTTATTAATTAGAGAACGTAATTGAAGCGGTGCGTAGCTGGGATCACAGGAACTAAACGTTGTTGCATGGCTGCGAAACATGATAGCTGTCCTTGAGTGGCGTAAGGTGCGCTACCTGACGCTGTCTTCGCCCACACCGCGTAAGCTGCTGTGTCACGGTAATAGCCTTACTAGCGTCCTACACCTCCTATACCATACCAACTAATGGATTTAACCTTCACTCTGGCTACGTATGATCCTACTTCTTAATTGCATGCCTTTATGAGGTTAGCCTACGATTGTACCAAGAGCAGTTGAAAAAATTTTCAATTGATTTAGCTTTTACTCTGGCTACGTATGATCGTTCTTATTAATTGCATGTCTTTATGAGGTAAACCTACAATGGTACCAAGAGCAGTCGACAAAATTTCCAATTGATTTAAGGTTTACTTTTAAAACACTGCAAGAATGATTGCCTATACCAACTTCAAGAAAATTTTTGAAAATATATAATTTTTTAATATCCTGATTTTATCTGTACTGTCAATGTCAATTGTCTCGACAGAATATGATATTTCAACTTAAGAATGAAGTTGACTGTGATATCGATTGCTAATCGGAGGTTATATGTGCACAAGGACTTATATATTCTCAAATAATTACGAGTTTATGTCAGAAGATTCGGAATAATTCCAATTTCATTCGTAACGATTCCATTTGTCGATTTAGCAACCGTTGTAAAATTATGCGCAGTTGCGGTGCTTTTGACGCTCATGTGATGAAAAGAGACGAGTTGCACAGGAAGTCCTTTTGATAAGAAGATATTAATCTTGAATCCAGGTTAAATATTTAGAATATGCGTGCTAATTAGATTTTTTCGTATAACTGTTGAAAAAAATAATCATAACCAGGGATGTTTTGACGTTAGATTTTAAGGCGCTCCATTCTAAACGAATGCGTGTGGTTGGCAGTAAGATGAAAAACTGTGGGCAGTTGAGGTGTAGTTCAGTTGCAACGAACCGTGCAACGCAGCTTGGCGACATCTTGCGTCCGCGCTAGAACGGTTTAGTGTAGCACTCACGTGGCGAGCGGTTACGGTGTACTACAACATACGCTGTGACCTTGTGATAAATTAGTACACAGCTGCTGCACTGTTACGTAGTACTATAACATACACGCGTCACTGTCACCGTGTGTCGCGACATTAGCACAAAGCGATGCACTGTTACAGTGTAGCACAACGCGCGCGTCACTGTCACCGTGTGTCACGCCATTAACACACAGCAGCTGCACTGTTACAGCGCAGCACAACACACGCGTCACTGTCACCGTTTGTCACGACATTAGCACACAGCTAGCGCCTGCACTGTTACAGTGTTCTACAGCATAAGCTGTGACCTTGTATCACGCATTTAGACGAAATCGCTCATGTTTGTCTCAGTTACTGGAGCATCACCACCAAATCCTGGCCATGCTGGAGGAGGGGGCCGGGGTGGACGTGGTGTATTTGAACTTCGCGAAAGCGTTTGACAAAGTTGACCATGGAGTGCTCTTCAGAAAATTAAGTCTACTGGGGCTCGGTGGCGTCATTCGCTGACGACACAAGGATATTAATGACCATCACGGACAGGACGGACTGCGAGAGGTTGCAAGAAGACCTCTCTGCAATATATGACTGGGCCCTAGTGAACAACATGCAGTTCAACGGGACCAAGTTTGAGGTCCTGAGGTACAGAGGAACCAGAAGAGCTGGAATGGAGCACCGCTACCTGGCACTTGACAACTCGGAAATCGAAGAGAAGCGACTCGTTCGCGATCTAGGAGTGTTGATGAACAATTAAGTCAATTTTGGTGATCTGCAGTTGGATTATGAAAATTGTATTTTCGAAATGTCGCAATTCATTAAAATGTCATTTGGAAGGCTAATCTGTTTTTTGATCTCCCGGCGCCAGCAAGAAATTTTGTTCGACTCATTGAAAGAACGAATGAGAAGATTATCAATAAAAAGCATGCTCTGGTCATCAATGAAACTTGCATAAAAGAAAAGCTTTTGCAAGGGTATAGTGGATATATACCCCAACAAGAGGTATAGTGGATACAGACGAAAATTAAAAGTTAAAATCACCCAGAGAACAATTTCAAAGTCCTGAAAAATCAGGCGGTTTGCACATTTTTTATTATTATTAGTATTTGCTCTATGAAACACTTTAATTACGGCCGTTTGGTATTTCAGTTCTCATTAGATGTACATTATGAAAATGAAGTGTCAAATTTTGAAAAGCTGCTATAGTAGGTTTCGATAAGCCTTTTATCAGGTTGGAAATATTCGACAGTCGTTTTATTTCATTCGAAATCTCAGAATTATTTGATCTGTAGCTATGATACTCATGAAATGGCCATAAACCGCGACTCCACTGACGAATTCAAAACGCATCGCAAATTGAAAGGAATCAAGATGGCACAAACTCTCCGATAAGCGAGAATAACCCGGAAGGCTCTGCGTATAAGGAGGAGTCGCGTTAAACGAGAGCTCTAAGTATGTCGGGACAAATATGATAAAAGGAACGAAGAGTTAGAACGAATATAAGCTATCACCAGGGCTGAGCTAGCAGAGATATCACAAAAAGAAGAAGCTCTCTTAGTCATTGAAGAAGAGCTTCGTCGTGTAAGAGCGAATGACGCTATTGCTGCTCGCAACCAGTAAAGGCAACGTCGGCGATACATAAGATTGAAACGCTAGTTTGAGGATGTAGCGCCGCGTGATCTCTTGGATGAGTCGTCCGAGTCTGACGATACGAAGAGTTCGGTGAAGCGTAGCTCATGCTCGTCTGAGACCAGTGACTCGTCAGATGAACTCAGTGACTCGTCAAATGAAACTACTCGACCGAAGACGGAAAATGGTTCGTCTCAAAGAACTGCTTCAAAATCGAGATCAGTTACAGGAACAGCTTCAACATCAAGTAGTTCATCAAGCAAGAGCAAGGCTGGTGACACAGACTCCACCTTTTCTCCCAGCAGTCAGACTTCTACAGATCCGAATTCAACGACATGCCAGAGCTCCGTCACAGCCATTTCGACTGCAGAAACAACAACTGCAAGCACTTGTACCACGAGTGACTCGGAGGAATCCTCCTGCGAAGCAAGCTCTTCCAGCACAGCAACTTCGAGCACAGCAAAGTACTGATGAGCCGAGGAGCGTCCATAACCTTTGAGAGTAAATTTTTGATTTCAAGAAATGTAATTTGTGAGCGGATGTAGATCAAACTTCTTTTTGTTTGATCTGTAATAAAATTGTGTAAATTGACTAATACATTCTTTTCCTTTTAAGGAAAATCCAAGCAACAAGAGAAGTTACGTTTCTACAAATGCGTATGTAGTCTTTTTCTATCAAATTATTAATGTTAACTCCCGGAACTCGTCTAGGCTCGATGGTATTTGAATAGTGTCTCGAAATGAACGGTGACGAGACGAAAAATATCCCGTAAGGAAACGAGACAAAGGTTAAAAATTCTCATGAATAAAGTAATATAACGTGATGATAATTGAGTCCCTGAATTTCAAACTTCAGTCCCGGATGTTATAACGCGTTAAGAGACCGATAGATAAATAAAGGGACGTGTCGAACTCGCATATCAATAATTATTAAATAGTTGAACGCATGATTTTAAATGGGCATTTGACAGATTTGGTGACTTTAGGTTGCCAACATAACGGCAGTGAAATAAATGGGAAGACTTAGCGATGTATGACTGACGGAGCTATTTTGCTGTTAATTATTTCTCAAATAGCTTACCATATTTAAAACACTTCAAATAATCGAGTATCGTAAGAGTGGTAAATTTAATAGCATCAGCTATATACCTAAAGTTGCTCGATCATGGGTCCAATTGTGGCAGCCAGTATTGAATGATCGAGTTCTACCACAGGCCACCATTAGTTTCATGGGCCAGTAAGCCTATAAACGAGGCCATTAATGGCTTCAAGTATTTCCCGTGACGCTACATGCAAACATGGAGTGATAATGAAACTAGTTAGGTTGGTTTATTTAAAATAGCTACTGATGCTAATGATAATAACTGATAACGGCGCTAGTCAACGTGGTTAAATTTAAGTAGTGCCTGCTACTGATTATAATTATAGGAAGCGATAACGGTACCAGTTTGTCTGGGTTACTTAAAACAGCTGAAACAGGAACAGCACGGCAGCACCACAGCACGGCAGCACCACAACACGGCAGCACCACAACACGGCAGCACCACAGCACCGCAGCACGGCAGCACCACAACACGACAGCACCACAGCACGGCAGCACCACAACACGGCAGCACCACACCACATCAGTACCACGCCACATCAGTACCACAGCACGGCAGCACCACAGCAGCGCAGCACCGCAGCACGGCAGCACCACAGCACGGCAGCACCACAGCACGGCAGCACCACAGCACGGCAGCACCACAGCACGGCAGCACCACAACACGGCAGCACCACAACATCGTAGCACCACAACACGGCAGCACCACAACACGGCAGAACCACAACACGGCAGCACTACAACACGGCAGCACCACAACACGGCAGCACCTCAATACGGCAGCACAACACGGCAGCACCATAATACGACAGCACCACAGCACGGCAGCACCACAGCACGGCAGCACCACAGCACGGCAGAGCCACAACAAGGCAGCACCACAGCACGACAGCACCACAACACGGCAGCACCACAGCACCACAACACGGCAGCACCACAGCACGACAGCACCACAGCACCACAGCACGGCAGCACCACAGCACGGCAGCACCACAGCACCTGTCTCTTATACACATCTAGATGTGTATAAGAGACAGCCACAACACGGCAGCACCACAGCACGGCAGCACCACAACACGGCAGCACCACAGCACGGCAGCACCACAGCTGTCTCTTATACACATCTAGATGTGTATAAGAGACAGCAACACCACAGCACCACAACACCACAGCACCACAACACGGCAGCACCACAACACGGCAGCACCACAGAACGACAACACCACAGCACCACAGCACGGCAGCACCACAACACGGCAGCTCCACAACACGGCAGCACCACGGAACGACAACACCACAGCAGGGCAGCATCACAACACGGCAGCACCACAGCACGGCAGCACCACAGCACGGCAGCACGACAGCACCACAGCATCACAGCTGCAGCACGACAGCACCACAGCACAACACCACCACAGCACCCCAGCACCACAGCACGGCAGCACCACAGCACGACAACACCACAGCACGACAGCACCACAGCACCATAGCACGACAGCACCACAGCACCACAGCATCACAGCACGACAGCACCACAGCATCACAGCACGGCAGCACCACAGCACGACAACACCACAGCACGGCAGCACCACAGCACGGCAGCAACACAGCACGGCAGCGCCACAGCACGGCAGCACCGCAGCACGGCAGCACCACAACACGGCAGCACCACACCACGGCAGTACCACACCACGGCAGTACCACAGCACGACAGCACCGCAGCACCACAGCACGGCAGCACCACAGCACGGCAATAGAATTGAGTGGATTGGCAACGCCAACGGAGGCAATAGGCAAGCCGCAAGCGTGCCTTTCGATAGCAATGCAGTAAGTTAGGCTTGGGATGAGTCCTTAGAAAAACAGTGTTTCGTGACTTGCAGTAACCAAAATTTCCCTTTGACAGTTGCGCATGAGACCTTAAACCATAAGAAAATGTACATACAATAAATTCTGACGTTTTTTTCTGTTCCTTACCTTCAATATTTATCCAAAACTAACCGAATTCTTTCGTATTCACTGCCCCACACACCTCCGGTACTTCCTGCACCATTGCAGCTAGACGCTATAGCGTCGACTGCTCCGCGCATGCGCCAGGCAGTTACTTGCATTTGAGAATGAGAAGAGATCATTCACTGAATGAATGAGATCATTCACTGATTTCGCGTTTTTCATCGAATTTATGTCAATTAACTGAAAACACAAGATACTGGATGGAACTAGTTCCACAAATACTGGCGACGTGGATTCGCTGTAGTATAGAATAGAATAGACTGTCGAAAATAAAAAAAAATGTAGAAACAAAGAATCATGTAAACCTCATAATTTTAGAGAAATTGAATAAGTGAATAATTCAATCAGTTTCTTCCGGTTTAAGCTCCGTATTGAGATTCATGCCTAGAAGGTTCTTTCGATATTCCTCCGCCTTCCTCACCCTTCACCCCCTTCCTCTCCCTGCCTCCTCAACTCTTGAACCATTACCGCCGGCATATTCGACGTAGGCCGCGGCTGAGGTGCGGCCAGTTGCCTGCCGCAGCTTTTGCCGACCGAGGCCTCGCGCTGTTCGTGGCAGACGAGGCCATATCGTCGCTATAGACTGCTTGAACGCGAGGTGAAGTCGGCAACAACGGCCTAGATTTGCGCGTTTGCGAACGTCACTGCGGCGAACGGCCGCAAGACCTGCGAGAATTTCGAACTGGGTAATTAATACAGGGAAGATACGAATGATTTGTAGCCTGTATTATAAATGAGGCCGAATTATCATATGGGAGCTGAGAAAATACAAATCTTATACGCACAAGATATGCATACATAATGCCTGGATTTGTAAAGTCGACAATAAATTTTAATGTTTATTATTCCTTCAGCTAACCCCACCGCGACGACAGAATTACAACGAGGTATTAGAATTAGGCATAAATTCTTGATTTAACAGAACTAAATGTTGTGGCAAGCAATGGATCTTACCGCGGACTATCGTTAATAGGTAAAAATGGCAACCGAAAAGATTTCTGAAGGACAACAGGGGTCAGCGGGTCCTTTGTAAAAAATCTGGCGAGCTGCGCCATTACAACAAATTCATGCAATATTTCAAATATTAATAAAATCAGCGATTTGACTTAGATCTTCCTGTTAGCCCATCGCGTGTGTTCGATGCTCGTTCAATTAGCGCATATTATGGTACAGATTAACTATGATCGTAAGCGTATCTAAACTTTTCTTGGTAAATGTTGTTATTAGAATATTTTTCGTTTGTATTGATCATAATTTAGTTAAAATCCGACATTTTCTTGATGAAATTCTTGAAGGTAGTCTACACTTCATTTCGAAAATTCGATGCATCATCAAATTCAACAAATAGTTATTTAGGTTTATTTTCTTTGCCCATAAATTGTATAAACTATGTAAAAAATACGAGAATTTAATTGATTCAATTGCTGCGTCATCTATGAAGTGAAGCATGCAGCTCTGGGCGTGTGAGGTGCAGGCTAATTGCAGTAAGGCTGAAGCTCCTCCATTGCACCCTTATCTCGCCCAGCACAAGACCTGACTTGTACTCTCTTCACTAGAGCCTCCTCCTCTGTGTAACCTCGTGCAGTGTAGCGCTCCTCGGATATGCTTCTTGCATTCGCTAAATTCTCTCCGTTATTCAGGAAGCTGTGATTACCACGCTTGCTATACGTGATTGTAGACGCACTTCTTCAAATATTCAACATCCATTTCCCAACACTTGATTTAATTCCATGTTTTATGCAAGTACTGCTCGTTCCTTGAATTCATTATTTAGTCTACTGACATCGTCTTGACTATTCCGTTATAAACTTTTAATTATTTCCACAATACGTGTCTGTGCCGGTGTGAAGTGTCCATTTAATTCACTTGCCATTGATATGTTCTTAGTCGTATAAGCCATCGCCATATCCGAGCTATATACTCAACTGAAGACTTGGACGCCACCACGGTAGTTGGGAACACTCTGGCCTAGTTTGTTACTCTTCCTGCTGCGATTAGATCTATGGTGATTTAGTCGCCAAGTTCGTTGATATAGTATTGCATAGTTTTCACTGTTGAACAGCTTCAATCAAGTAGCTTTAGGATGCTAGAGACATGAATCGTCGCTGAATTCCGAAGAAAATTGGCGAGGAGTCGTGTCGTGTTGTGGATGAGATAAACATATGACTTTTGCTTTCCTGGGATAATCATGCCGAACGAAATATTTTTAGCGCATTCTCTCATTTATGAAAAAATGCACTATTGTGCTCGCCATGTCCGTCCGTTCGTCTGTCCGTCCGTCTGTCTGTCCGTCGGTCTGTCTCTCCGTCTGTCTGTCCGTCTTTCTGTCCGTCTGTCTGTCCGTCTGTTTGTCCGTCTGTCTGTCCGTATGTCTGTCCGTATGTGACTTCATGTTTTCGTCGACGAGGAAATGCGCTCTCTGTCACTCACTGCAGTGAGTACTGAGGGTATATTTATTAACATTCCCGCGAAACAGACACGATGTCATGCACTATCTAAATTTTGAGCTTACCAGTGATATTTGTGGCCAAATTTTCAACATAATTTTTCTTATTCACGTCCACCATAAACAAGTTGCGCAATCTGCTGCAGTATCGTCACTTCTTGACCTGTCATCAGATTGAATCTTTTTATTTCTAAGTTGCAGTCTTATATACTACTTCATGCGATTTGCTGTGTGGAGGTTCGCGTAGAATTTTTTTCAATGCAGCAGCTGTAATCACATTTGAAGATTCCATTAACATAACATAACATAGTGATGTCGGCGCTGAAGTGTAGGCCTGATGTGGCCTGTCGCCGATTCTTTTCCTTTTCGTGCCTTGTTCACAGAAGATCTAATATCGTGTTATTTGCCCGGATCTTTTCATGACTGGCGATAGTTTGAAGTAGATACTAGACTTATAGTATTTGCACAGTATAAACTTGTATAAAACTGTGCTCGGTGACAAATTAAAATTGGTGAGCATAATTGTTCTGAAATTATAATTAGTCAACTATAAAGATAGAGAAAAGCGAATTAGAACTTACGCATAAGGACACTGAGAGCGTAAGCTGGTGTCGAGAAGTTTTTTCAGTTCCATTTTGACTCCCTTGCCGCCCTGCAGCGTCCTGCTCATACGAACGCGGTACTGGAACAGCATCTTGCAGAGCGCTTCCCAGTCCACGCACGCCTTACCGCATGGATACTGAAAATGAGCAGCTTGATAAAGAGCAGCTTATTTACAGCCGCCGTACACAGAAAACGAAGAATGTTAACGTTAACGCCATTTTTTGTTAACGCCATTTTTACAGAAATTATTTACACAATAGATATGCTTCAGAGAATTCTCTAAAAATTTCAAAATAACATAAAGAACTTAAATCCTGATTGCTGTTGAAAGTCTATATTGCCATGGTTAAACGATTAGTCTCTACTTGTTGAATTACCGCTTCAGGTCGAATGAGTTTAGCCAAATATATTTCTATATTAGTGGAGCGCAGACATTTTTTAGCATTATTGAATTTTTCATCTACTATTATAAACAATAACAAAGGATTAGGAGCATAAAATACGTCAAAAATTTTACACACGAGAGATCATCGGTGAATAGTTCAACATTATGAACGATAGGTAAAACAAACAATCGATCGAAATTTTTTGAACGATTTTCAGAAACTTTAGTCTAAACACTGAGTAGCTAAGTTTGAAGAATTATAACACATTGATATCAGTGGTCGTCTCCTCTACTTTTCCTCGGAAGGAACTGGTTTGTGAAGCAGAGAGTAGAATGCCATGATAATCCACCAACAACGAAGGTGAATATTGTTGGCCATAAGTCAGTGCATGCCAGGTTAATCCACCAACAATGAAGAAGATGTGAATTGTTGGCCAAAGGTTAGTGAAGAATGAACGTGACTCACCCGTAGTATGATCTTTAGGACGAAATTAATTATGGCAACGTCCTTCAGTTTAGGCGAGGTGCACGTCTCGGTGAACTGCGGGATGACAGAAAATCAAACACGTTATTTAAAGGCCAAATAAATTATTTAGCAGACCATCTTCATTTTTACCTCGCTAACTCAACTGAAATCGCTCTTTTAATGGAACAAACGGCATACAAAAGTTGGTTCTCCTGACTTGTAGCGTCGTGTGCCTTTGTTACGCCAGCCACTTTAATGACATTAGTTGCACAGTACAAAAATGCAATTGTTGGATCGTCAAGCTGAGCAGCAGCAGCAGTGAGCGATGCCACTGATGAATTTCATGAGACACTTCAAAACCAACAACAACAGCAGCAGCAACAGCAGCAGCAGTAGCAGCAGTAGACCACCTCGCTGACCCGCCCTTTAACTGGTCTGGCATTCAGGATGGAACAACGAATACGAGTTCGCTACTTTGTTCATACCTTGATGTTGCCAGTCGTAATGTTAACGGAGTATAATTTTTCTGTGTTGCTTATAAGCTAAAGATGCGTTGGAATATCAGCACGTGGCTCGCAAGAGCGAATATTGTGAGGTGTTGTCAATGACCGTGTGACAAATACAATGCAAATATGATTTCATGCTACGTGTGCTGATCATGCCATGTTTGACGTGTGCTGACCATGCCATGTTTACATACACAGAATGCATGCCATAATTGAATGCATAAGACTGCACGTTACCAAATGGAAACATTTGATGTCCCAGTTGAGGTACATACTATGGTATATAAGGAGACATTAATCTGAATGTCTGGTCCGGAAAACTTATGTTGCGCGTAGGTACC